CAACAGAGGCATGGATGGGAATCGCACCCACGATCTTTGGTTTACGAGACCAAACGCCTGAACACTTGGCCACACGCCTTCTTCTGTTGATAATATTTATAATTTCACTAAAAATTAGCAACAGGTTATTTTTGGGGGGAATTTATTGTTTTCCGTATTGAAAACGATATAATTACAAGTGATTTAGAGAGGCGTTAAACAACATTTAGCGTGTATTCTGGCTGTCATACTTGACTTGACATTGGACTATCCTCTGAAGCATATACATTTAAACTAAACTTGCCACTTCACAAAAAGCAAAAGCAGTGGAGATGCTGGGGATTGAACCCAGGACCTCATACATGCAAAGCAAGCGCTCTACCACTGAGCTACATCCCCAGGTGGACTTTTGATTAATCTTGAAAATGAACCATGAAGATGTGACTTGAACGTATCCTAACACAGCCATGACAATTTGAGATGACAACAGGTTTACTTGAATTTAAAGAAAACCATTGGCAATCGCTGAATAGTTTAATCTCGTGCCCATGCGAAAACAACTGAAAACGATGACAATAAAAATCCATGAAATTTTTATGTGTTTGATTGTGCAATACATGGTGTTCCATTCATACACAATTTATGCATTTTAAGGTCATTCACACGAGGCTCCATTGCTTGAGTAAAGATCGTCTCCTTGAGCACGCCATTAAGTTCCTCCAATCGTCTTAAAAACCTCAACTTTGAACTCTCGTAGTTGCAATGCCAAGAAAATATGACAATACCAGAAGAGTTCCAACGACTGAGGCATGGATTGGACGACCGAACCCACGATATTTGGTTTACGAGACCAACGCCTTACCACTTGGCCACCACACCTTCTTCTACTAGGAAATTTCATGAATTTTTTTTAAAATTGAAAATATAAAACGCCCATTGTCAGGAAGAAATTATTATTGCGTTTGATATTGACAACGATATGCTTCCAAGTGATTACGATTGAAGTAAAACGCAATAACCTTTTCTTTTTGTAAACATTCGGGTCGTGAACTGTTCATGCCATATAAGCATGTGGCCTGCTTGATTATCTACTGAAAACCAGTGGCTGCATGACCTATTATGAAAATTATCCTGGCCCTAAAGGCATGACACGTTTGGGTCTGATATCAAACCACCTGCTCACAGTCTCTTTTAAGGAAGGGCTTCTCAAACCCCATGGTCCACAATGGTGCATGTTTACCAATCATCAGGTGTAATTGATTATTTTTGTATTTAAATGTATACAATTGGCAAACACAAAGCAGTGGTGGGTGGTGAGCACTGGAGTTTTAGAAGGCCTGTTTTAAGGGAAAATAAACGTCGCTCTAACACAGCAAATAGAGGGTTTAATAGTTGAATAGTGATTCGGCTGTTATCGTACGCGCAGCTGTTTGGTGCATCCGTTCACAAGCGGACTGTGGGTGTGTGTGTGTGGGGGGCAGATGGAGTATTGGGGAACAGAAACAAAACAATCACTGTGGAAACGAAGCGTGCGGTCCAGTGTCCTGTATCACCACATGATCCGCGAAAACAACTGTGGAACATTGTGGATGATGTGGTCAAAGTATCATAGACAGATTGGTGGGGATACAATTGGGAATAATCAACACAATTCTAATGGAGCTCGGTCTTTCTTGGGCACGGAAGGGTTTGCAAGCATGCTAAGATTAATTACAAGTGTCCAATTTCTGTGGAAAAATCGCATTTGACCAAATCACCCGGAGTGCGTTCAATCTTGCTTGAATGGTTGACTGACATATTTGCAACACAGGTGTCGCAGACTGCGACAAAGCCACATTGTCAGCGGAGGGAAATGCATAAAATCCATGTTGTACTGCACTCTGCTCCAACTTCCATGCTCTTCCCATCTTCAACTCGCACTGACCAGCATGGTGATCGATGGTGCAGATAACCCCCCACGCCTCGCACGTGCGGGAAGAGCCTCATACAGCAGTTGACAAACAAACAAAAAATGGACTGTTTGTGTTTATTTTGGTTAACCGAACACGTCCACGGGTGATATAAGTGTACTGATACCCAATGAAAATGAACTTTCATGACAAATTAAGAGGACATTGTTGAATTGCACACGCATTACCAGGAAATTCCACAATGTTGGGGATGGCTATTTTTCAAGAATTCTCTCTTGAAAGTCATCCAGAGCAAAGCGGTGAAATGAACAATTCTGGCCCGAACAATGCGTCGCTTTCCTGCCCAAAGCGGATTCGGGCAGCGATGCACGTACCAAATGGATACGGGGCTGATGCCGCTGTGTATGTCTCAAATACAGGCCGACCTCTTCACATCTGCTCATCATTTCGCTTTTGTTTTAACCCAGCACCGACCGACCGACAATCCATCTTTGTTAATCTCTGCTTGCCGTGGGAAACATGACGAGATATACAATACCGTAGTTGCATGCGACCCAGAGTATTTTACCATACGAAAGTGAAAAGTCACGGGGGAAATGCGCCCTGTTTATTGTAGGGCCACAAATAATTCGGGAGAAGGGCGCAACTCAATGAGTCTGGCACAAGCAGAAGAAGGCACCCGTGTAAATGAACTGTCCAAATAAGCGGATGCGAGAGTAACACCGTGTGCGTAGGCGATGTCAGGATTACAGAAGCATGGTAAACGACACGAGCGAGCATCTCACCCCAACCAACCACCACTCCACCATGCCCCTCGACCTCCCCCACGCATCTAGAAGCGCCTTCGCATCCCGTCCAAACAAACGGATTTTCTGGCATATACAGTGCAGCTTTTTGCTATATATAGATACACCCATTGAATCTCTTCTGCGTGCATGGGACACCGCACGCTCGCGGCCGCCGCGTGCGAGTCAATCATCCGGCCGATTAATCGCACAGCAGGTTACGTAAATGCAGCGACTACCGCAGGAAGATGATGAAGCGGGCGCCAGACGTCATCGGGCACCGCTCAGACCTTTAGCGCTGACGCCTGCTGAATGCTTAATGCAGAAGCGATGGTTCAAACACGGTTGAAGGTTTTGGTCGCACGCTGCGATACAGCTCGAACGGTCCCAAGGCTTACCGAGCGAGGAAGAGCTAAAAATACGAAGTGGTGATTACGCTATAATTTTTTTTAGGGCTCTACCGTACGCATGTATTTTATGCGGCGTGAGCACGATTCAATTATTCACTGCTGGGGAAGCCCTACAATTTGTGCTCGTGTGTTAATATAAATTATACAATGGAAGGGAGGATTTGCGCAATCGCGCGCTATTAACCCAGCGATCAGGGCTATCTCAGTCATGGCTTAGAATCAGTGAGTGGCGAGCGATATCTAAAACCGGTCCTGGCAAGCCGATTCAGAAACGCGCCTGTGACACGGCGTGGTGAGCCTTCATCTAGCAGTGGATTGACACAGGGGCTTAATTATTCACTTAATATCTGCAACATTCTGGTATTGTACATGAATAATATTTATTTAAGGGCTATTTCTAACCACTGATTTTCACGATTGTTTTTTTTTCTTCGTAGATTGATCATTGAATTGACACGTCTCATTCTCTCTATGCGTTTACGCTGCCATGAACGTTATCCTGCTTGTGAGGCTGCAATTATGTGGCAAATGCTCTAGAATATTCTTCATGACCGTGGATGTTTTATTCAAAAACAATTGCTTGGCGTGACCGACACGTTGCACACAGACATTTGAACAGAAATACTTAAAACACCTGTTGTAAAAAAAGAACAGTTTGCCAAGATAGCAATTAACCTAGAAAAACATTGCAAGCGGCAAAGATACAAAACAAAACGTGTTACATTGAAAAGCAAATTACATGGATGACTAATCACAAGAAAAATGAGCGGAGTTAGGAAGAAGAGAGGTGTAACATGAGTGGCAAACAATTATGAAATGGGCAAGGGGCCGTCCATAAATGACGTCACGTGATTTTGGACGATTTTTGACCACCCCCCCTCGTCACACGGCGTCACAAAAAGTCAGACCCCCCCCTCAATATGACGTCACAAAGCTCTGCCCCCCCCCCCCCCCAAAAAACATGCTTCAAATCGCTTTAAACTATTGTTATTGTAGTGCGTATTTAATGTGGCGATGCATTCTGACGTTGTAGGAGAAACCATTTATTAAAAAGTATATTTAATTAAGTAGAACGTGTTGTTTATATTTATTTAAAGTTGCGCATTTTGATGTGACGTCACATTTCTCAACCCTCCCCCCCCCCTCGTCACACATCGTCACAAATGTCTGACCCCCCCCTCCTCCTAGGTGCGTGACACCATTAATGGACGGCCCCTAATACGTTGAATGAATGAATGCACACGAGGTGTCCACAGGGGAGAATTAATGATTAAATCATAGAACATCCATAAGACAGGAATTATAGCTTCATGGCTGCAGACAAATGCATTAAAATAGTGAGTTCTTCATTTATAAATGGGTAATGAATAACTGAAAGTGGTTGATTTATGGGATCCTCAAGAGCAATGTACAAAGTACTATTTTTGCATTTATCAGAATATAAAAAAACATTGCAACACTATAACCTTGTTTTTGGTGGTGTGCAGTCTGCAGAATCTCATGTGTAGATATGAAGCAAGTTCAAACCTGTAATTTCTTGCATATTTTCAATCATCAAGCAACGGTTGTCTCATCCTGCATTTATATTGACTTGAGACAATGTGCCAAATGTGATGTAGCTCCTATTTTATGAAGCTATGCTATTGATTAAACTGCAGCACAGTCAAATCCGTGATTGCTATATTGCTGGTTGGTGTAACTGAAGCACAGCGTGGGGGGGGGGGGAAGGCAACACACACACACGTGACTTGTTCGAGAGTAAAACATCCGTAAAGATAAGTGTACGTAGAGCATTCCTTGTCGATCATAGTATGCACTACAAAACAAAACGGACATTTGCATCGGGAAAAACATGTTCTTGGAAGACATTAGAAAAAACATGTAGTGTAATTCATAAAACATCACAAACGACTCGATGTTTTTCTGGAGTTACAGAGAACATCCCATTTATTTGAGTGCTTATTTTGCACAACTCGTAATCAAGAATGGCCCCATTTACAAACACGAACATACACGAGTTTACCCCCCTTCAAATTAAGCCGAGATTTAAAATTTGTGGTTTCCTAAAAGGGGAAAAAAATATTCTGAGAATCAATAGCATAGAATCAATAGCAAGTCTACTTCTGGATGCAAACAGCCTGCTATTCTGAGTCCAATGCTTAGAGTTTGTGCACATTAATTGTGGTACGGTATGTGTTTTGAAAATATACTGTCCGCTGCACAAAACAGTTTTTCTGACATTACAGAATGTACAAAATGAATCCCGCTACACAGCACATGCATCTTATTTTAAATAGTCAACTTCCTTTTAATTAGCGGGGATTAAAAACACCAGATTAAGAGATACTAAATTATTCACGATGAGATCATATGACCATTGTGTGCAGCATACACAAATTCCTCATATGCATGCCTAAAAGTAATGATTAATTCATATCCTAATCAAATCACATTCTTCTCATGTTACTCTGTTCAGCAGCCAAGGGGAGGCACTTTTTTCTGGCCAGGTAGGCATAATGCTAATACAATTAAACTAAACTTTTTATTTCGTAAGGCCCACTGAGCTATTTAGCTCTTTTTTCAGAAGCGACCTGGCCACAAATGATAGTTCAACAAAGTGGCTGATCACATGCAAATGTATTGCAGCCAAATACACCAAAACACGTTTTTAAATATGGAGGGGAAAAAACCGGAGGACCCGGAAGAAAAATCCAGGCGATCACGGGGAAAACACGCAAGCTCCAAATATACAGCAGGCATCAGGGTCAGGATCAAACCCACGACATCCTGTATACCAGGCCAGGTAGTTAACATCTCACCACCACAGCGCCAAGAGGAATGCGTTAAGGTAATGTACATTAGTGCTGCCTAAATCCATACTAAATTGCACTTATATACGAATGAGCCCTCATCGAATGATTACTTCTGAACAAAAAATTGTATCCTGTCAACTTCAGAAATGTTCAACTTATTGCACTTGCGGTACAGGAGGAGGGTTTGGGAAACGACATTTAAGAGGCATACACGTAGACAAGCTTAGCTCACAACATCCCAGAGACTCTGCAGGGTGAATCCATCACGCAGCTTCTCCACTGCAAGACCGAGATCTTCGTTGAATATGGGATCCCTATCTTGTTGCTGTAAACCAAAATGACACGATACATGTTGGAACCACCTCTGGTGTCTGTGGAACGACTGTCCTATTCCAGACGTCTTGTAAATCCACTTGAATGCATTTGTCCCAGCTTTGTAAAGGACAGATTATTGGTTCAGTCTGCACATATCCCTCAAATAAGACAAATGAGCTCTAAAATAGGCTTCACTGCATTGCGCAACATTTAATATTTTTTCACAATTACTGTGTAGACTAATGACACTAAATATTAAAAAGGGATGCCAAAATGAATTGAATGGAAGATGACTGGTGACTCAGGAGAATGATGTATAATACTGAGCCAATACCACAGAAAGCCTGTGATGAAATCCTGAGCTCTCAGCTGACATAAAATACAATTCTCAAGTGCAGCAAGCTTAATGACCTCAGTTCCGTTACCAAGGACTCAACATCTTACAGGAAAAAATAATGATTGTTCTATATGGATGGTAAATGCCAAAAATGGGTGAATTTTGATTGCGTAATTTTATTGACCATTTTGTTTGGCATACCTTGTTTCCATCGGCAAAGTAGGCCTGCGGACGACATATGGAGACGGTTATGTAATGCATAACTGGCATTCCTCGTGGTATGGTTAGTGATTAGTACTATATACCCCATTAACAACAATGTAACATACAAAAAGCATATAAAGGGCCAATTTGAACCGAAATAGTGATATTTTCGTTTCTAATTTATTAATATGATTTTCAACAATTCCTCTTCTTACCTATAAAAGGCATTCTTTTGTCTGTCTGTCTGCCTGTGTGTGGCCGAAACTTGCAAAGGATTTGGCTCGCAAACCGTGGGGTTTATGTTTAAAAAAAAAAGTAGCCAGTTACCACGCCATAAGCCCCGTGCTGAGCCAGCGCTATTCCGATTTCGCGTCCGTCACCTTTAAAGTAGTTTAATTAGCGATTTAGTGCTGTTATTTGTTATTTATTTATTAGCTAGCGCATGTACGACCCTACCAACTGACACGCGTTCGGTAATGGGGAGGGCCCCTACCAAGTCACACGCGTTCGGTGGGGGTGAGGGGGGAATTATCTTTCGTGTGGACACTGCTCAAGGTAACACACGCACAGATTTACAGCTCCCTTCAAACATTCATTACCATGACTGTTTACTCATTACAAATTGCCTTTTATAGGTAAGACATTTAATGACAGAGATTAAGCAATGTTTTGCCCTAAGTAATACGATTTTTCTCCCCAACTACCTCTATCTTTGCTTTCGCGACCACGTCTTTATGTGAGGCCATGACACTTATGCACACGTTTTCTCTTTGAAAATAGGTACACTTCTAAATATCACTGTCCTGCTCACAAAAAGCAGGTTTGAGGCGAAGAAGAGCCTTTTTCTGTACTCTTGAGGTATAAGCAGCCACGCAATATCACTTACTGCACAGGGGCAAACCAATAAATATACTCAATCACGTCTTCATTCTATCATATTTAGACTTGCCCCCTCAGTACGGGGGTTGAGCAGTGACGTCATCTCAATTACGCTTGATTGGTGCGCATCTGCTCATAGTTACAGGTAGGTTAGGTTCATTTTGTATTCGTTGACTTTCATTAATTTGCCGCTCTTGCTCGCGGCAAATGATTGCATCAAAATGGCGGAACACCCTCGCAGTCGCTCCTAATTACTTATGTGTGTGTGTGTGTGCGGTGCGTGTTTTAAGTCGATATGTGTGTTTAAGTCGATATGTGTCAGTCGATGTGTGTGTGTACGTCCATGTGTGTGTCGCAGTCGATGTGTGTAAGTCCATATGTGTGTGCGAAGTTCCATGTGCGTGTGAGTCTATGTATGGGTGTGTTTAAGTCGATGTATGTGTCTGCGTGAGTCCATGTGCGTTTCTAAGTCGATGTGTTTGTGTGTGTAAGTCGATGTGTTTGTGTGTGGGTCGATGTCTGTGTGTGAGTCGATGTGTGTGTCTGAGAGTCGATGTGTGTGTGTAAGTCTACGTGTAAGTCTATGTGTGTGTAGGTCAATGTGTGTGTGACTATGTGTGTGTGTGAGTCGATATGTGTGTGCAAGTCTATGTGTGTGTGTGTGAGTCGATGTGTTAGTGTAATTCCACGTATGTGTGTGTAAGTAGATGTCTGTGTGTTTGAGTCCAAATGTGTGTGTGTGTGGAAGTCGATGTGTTTGTGTGTGTGGGTCGATGTCTGTGTGTGTGTAAGTCGATGTGTGTGTGTCTTTTTCGCCCGGCAACACCGGGTACTTCCCACTAGTAACCTTATAAACATGCATCAGGCAGTACAATTTATTATTAATGCAATTCTAAATTATTTCAAAAGACCTGAGGTTTGTCAAGGCATTGTGTCCAACTGAATTGTCTGAGATTGAAACGTGGCTTAAATATTTTTCAAAAAGCACCCAATACGATTTTCCCTGTGCATTCACACATTTTTTTTTCCCAGCTCACAATAATTCCCAATGGCCAATTTGGAGGATAACTTTTGTTTATCAAGCCATCAGGTAGTGTCAATACTTAGTGAAAGTCCTTCTGTTGAATATATCAGTCCTCGGCACAATTGTGGCAGTAGGGCATTTTTTACGTATTTCACGGACAACCACTAAGGCCTGGGCATCAGATCATAACGTGGGTGGAGTGAGGAAGCATTACTTTAGTCATCATTTTTTATTTTTGTCATAGTCGCAGTCTAGTTGACGACAACCGATACAATTTTAGTCATGTATTTGTGAATTTCATGTCGTCACTTTCTTAGCCTCGTCAACGGAAGCAGTCAAACAATTAGTCCATTCCTAGTCATTAAATGATGGTGTGTGGGGTCCAAACTGTCCCTATTCCCGCCAAAATATTATCCGTCTATAAAAAGGTATAGCCAATAACCATTTTTGGTCTTTTTCAGTGCACTGCAGTCTATAATAGCGTAACTAAATTATCTTAGTGCGTCTTAATTTGGACTAATTTAATCTCGTCAGCCAATCACTCTTTGGTCTTTTGGCGGACTGTCATTGTCGCCATACCTGAAGATTTTCATCCATATCGTCATCATCGACTAAAATAAAAAATCTTATTTTCGTCACTACTTTTATTTAAAAAAATGACACTGGTGGGGTGCAAGTTTGTACCACGAAGGCATCGCTTGGCTCATCCTGTTGAATTTCCACGTCATCCAAGGCATTCTCCACTGTCACTTCATCAAGTGGCTGGGGCTGCAGAAATACCAATATCCACAATATAGTTACATATGAGTACAGGCATGTGGTGAAAAAACACACAACTATGCTAAACTATTTTTTATTCTACCAGGTAAGGCCGACTGAGCTATATAGCTCTTTAACAGAAGCAACCTGGCCACAAATGATAGTTCAACCAAGTGACTTATCACGTGGAAATTTATAGAAGCCAAATATTCTAAATGCATGTTGATGCTAAATGTGGAGGGACAAAGCAGAGGACCCGAAGAAATATCCGTGCAACCACGGGGAGAACATGCAAACTCCAAATATACAGGCTTCAGGGTTGGGATGGAGCCCACGACCTCCTGCATACCCTGCGAGGTAGTTAACATCTCGCCACCACCGTGTCCTCAGGAGGCCAATTTTACAATATATGTAAACAAATACGTTTTTCAGTTTTACATGAACATAAAGTGTGCTGATAATTGTCATATATGCCAGTCGTTTAGTAGCAAAGTATTGCTTTTTGGTGGCCAGGAGCCATATATTTTACTTTATCATGTGGAATTACACAGAGCTCTACAAATGTGAGATCATGTGATTAAACAAGCAGAAAACACACAGCCATGAATATTTAAAACAATTATTCACATATGCTACGTAACAATAGTAATTACTCATGTATCATGGCCAACCCATCACAGATCAGGAGGCCAATTTTGTATTTTAAATTGTTCAGGAAATACATTTACATTTATTTTAATTAATGTAAAATAATTTACATTTTCCCACGAAACAATGTACCCATTAATCACCTTACAGAGAGATGAGTCCGTGAGTGTTTGGCCGAGAACCAAACCTTGGAGAAACTCACTATACCTCTGTGTATGTAAGAATTCAACATTAGAAACCTCAGTGGGGAACCTTTTTTCTACCAAGGGCCATTTGGGTATTTATAACATCATTCGCGGGCCATACAAAATTATCAACTTATAAATTAGCCTGTTATATTTGGTCAAACATTTAATTAACTCACCCATAATGTGATGGCTGGAACAGACCAAATGATTTCGCGGGCCTTATACGGCCCACAGGCCGGACGTTCCCCACTCCTGAACTACAGCATACATAGGCAACCTTGCAGTAGAACCGAGGTATATATAGGGACTCCATATACTTGCGATTCATAATACATTTTTGGGTTAGATCATGTAGCTATGATGCGAAATTACTGCCATGATCAATCCACTGTGGAATGAAGGCTTCTCCCAAGTAATTCCCATCTCTCATGGGCCATGAAATATAACAATACACCTAGCACCTACAAACAAGCCGAATTATCCACTCGATCTCCGTGGTGGTAATCTTCTCGGGTACGTTGCTCTCCCTCCCCGGTTACTCCATTGTTATTTAATAAGACTCGGGGATCATTACACTAAAGCTATCCATATCACACAGCCTCTGTATTACTGCAGGACCCCTACACACATTCCTGCACCGTAGCCCGTGTGATGTGTGAGATCACGTGAGAAGGATCCTTGTCCATACCCTATCCTCGATCTCAAACTGCACCCCGAAAATGGGGCTGGCGGAGTAGACACGGTGCAGCGACTGGATCTCTTTCACTGCCTCTTGTAGCTTCTCGAGGGGGTCGATACGGAAACCCAGCACGTAGCCACCACTCTGCATGCAACCCGTGTAAATTTTAAGCACATCAGTGACAAAAATACCAAATTATTCCCGAATGTGATGAGACAAAATTAACTCGTTTGAATGAAGACACGGACTAAAATGATTAAGTAATGTTATTTGAGAATGAAGTGCACTGAGGAAAACCAAAACTTTTCGATTTAAAGCTTTCGTGACTGCAAGGATTCATCTTCTTTGGTTCTTTCGGTAAAGTCACGTAGAATGAGAATAAAATATAAATTGATAAAATAAAATAACACAATAATATTCTCACGACGTTTCGGCCACAACACAAGCGGCCTTCATCAGGTGAAGGGGACGAGACTGTCTGGAGGACAGCGCTGGAGTGTCACCCCAGCGCTGTCCTCCTTGTGTTGTGGCCGAAACGTCGTGAGAATATTATTGTGTTATTTGATTTGATCAATTTATTATTTTATTCTCATTCTACGTGACTTTACCGAAAGAACCGAAGAAGATGAAAACCAAAACATTTAATTTGCTAAACAAGCATGTAAAACAACTGACCATAATCACTTACAAACTGATCTGACGTTGGGGAGAGGGAAATTACGTGTCGCTCATTCCAAAAACTAATAACTCAGAGTGGACGAAATATTTAACTGCGTTTGCCAACTAGACTCAGACTTGGCCAAACTTCAACAGGTTGTTAGACTACACTATGATGACTAAACTAGAAATGCTAAATTAACACTGCATGCAAAGCATGCAGAGGACAGAGATGGTTTATCATCACCGTTGTTCTCATCAACATACATATTTCTATGTACACAAAGGCCTTAGGTTAAAAGCATTGTATTTGGAAGAGCTAACTAATTTGGATTACTAGATATAAAGGGCATCCAGGTTAACGTCATTATCAGAGCTAATAGTTCAAAGTTAACCTTCTGGTCCTGTTGCACACAGGTAGTTATCACGCAAAGTATATTGGTGTTGTTCATAATACATATTTTTCATACCAGCAAACTCACAAACCGTGAGCAAGAATACAAACCATGCTCCAATAAAAAATACTTTAGAGCTAAAAATTTGCTCATGCGGCGACATGGCCCACTGGTAGCACATTTGCAGCTTGTTGCAGAGGTTCGCCATTGGAACCAAAGGCCACCCTGTTTAATACTGTGGACATAATCGTGAAAAGTGCCGTCTGCTTTACAGTGAACGTTAAATATTCCGTGACATTATTCCAAAAAGAGGCCAGGTGCGCTGGCATAATGGCCCAGATTTTACACCTTTGAAAAACGAAAGGAAATATTTAGAAAAGTAAGTCAAGTATGATTAAGCTATGTAGAAACTATTTTTCTTCTATGTATTTACCTGTTGTGATGTTTCTATTACCAATGCAAGGCCAAACTTGGAATCTCTTATCTTCACTGAACGCTGTAAGAAAAACGAAAATAACTGTAATACACACATTGTCAAAAACTGTGTTTTACTGTACACACACAAAATCATGTGATTTTCAATGTAGATGTAAGGTTAACAATAATAATGTATTAAAATGGATACATCAGATATTCTATTGTGGAATATATATACTATATTGCCACTGTACAATCCAATCTTTCTCTGCATTTTTCCTCTGCATCCCTGCCTGTTTTTGTATTTTCTCCCCAACTTTCTTTGCATTCCTTTACACTTATTGGACAAACCCTCAAGCATTATTGCTCCTTAATGCCACAGCGTCCTGTTTGTCCCGGGCCTCGTCTGGCACCGGAACTGCCCTGGGACTCCATGGTTACTGCCCCAGCTGCCCCTGGAACCCATTGGTCCTGGGCACACCCTTTGTTGCTCCGTGACTTGTTGGTCATTGGGCCCCGGTGTCCTGAGGACGTCCGGGGACCTGTTGGGCCCCAGTTGCTTCGTCCCTTTCTACTTGGCCTCATTGACTCTGGTCCGTGCTGTGGTGTTGCTCTCTCCCCTTCCCTGGGTGGCCCTGGCGTCACCTCCTCTTCTCATTGTTCCTTCTTCCTGAATGTCCCTCACTTATATAAAGTGTTTTGAGATGCTCGACAAATTGAAAATGTTATTTACCATGTAAAATATACTACTCACAATTTGCAGGTATGGAATGCTGACGTTGAAGCTGTCATTCATGTTGGCATGCCACACCAGACGCACGTTACTTATAAAGAAGGTGCCCAGGTTTCCCTGCAAATAATTCATCAAAACGTCAGTGTATAGTTTTCATAACCCGTCAATAAAAGCCATCTGCTACTGAAGCTAAAATACATTTCCATGATGCATTTATCGAAGTACATACTGGTGGAGTGGTGACACCGTTGTCAGCGCACTGCGCTTTGAACCCGGCAACCTTCGTTCAAACCTTGGCCATAACTATCATCAGTTGCGAGTGATATCTCAACTAGTCCAGGGACTCCTCTTCACCAACCCAAACTGACCAGTGTGGTGACGTATGGTCAAACTACCTCCAATGAGTGATGCAGTAGAGGGAAGCATACATCCAGGAGTGGATAGACAAAGTTATGCATATTCATATTATACTATTATATTTAAATAACAACAGTGCCCTTTTATCACCAACAATATTACAATTTAGTTATTAAAGTTAAACCATGCAGACAAATAAAACGTATTCATTTTAGACCACATACTGGATATCTGTGATATACTGGACATCTGTGAAAAAGAGCTTTACAGTATAAATACAAATTCTAATATTTTACACTTGAAATAGTGCCATACAGACGAAGTTTAGAGGCCTTTTATGCACCAATGTTTTAAGATAAATTGGAAACAGGCTTAGCGCACCAGCCAGCAGCTGACACAAACCTGGTCGCTGGACAGGTTCCAAACGCCGTTGATCTTGTCGTAAACCTGTTCCTGCGGTAAAAGCCGCAGCTGCCTGTTACTGATCAGGGCACCACGTAGCTTCAGGTCGCGGTACATCTTAGATGTCTCGTATGCCCTGTTCAGAGCAATAAGCGGTTAATGAAGTTGCATTTGTAACAGGTGAATAATAGCATCATTTATTTATTCAGGACAGCCTCACCGAGTCTCAGGACTTTTCCCAGAGGGTCAGGTATCGAGATGTTTGGCTAATTCCACTTAAATAAGTGTTTTACATATATATATGAAAAGGCCATCAACAAAATAGGATGACATTATGTCAAAAGTCGAGGAAGATGGAGGGTGCTCATTGTGGATGTCTCAAAGTTCCACAGGGGATATGCTAAATTAACTTTCATTTCGGAAACACTGAAGGTACTGCAGAAAATCCTGAGATATGATGAGTTCACAATGAAAAGGTCCAGATAGGCAAGTTTACAAAAAACACATGCTATACTTCCATCTCCTGGCCACCTTGCAGGTCAATAGGTTTGCCAATCTCACAAAAATACATGACTTACAAAACCCTTGCCTCCAAAGTGGAGAGTTGGTTTTGTTGCTCAAGAAATGTTAAAACTAGGAGAGGCAAAATGTGAGCACAGCAACTTGTCGACTCTGCCATGAATATAAAATGCAAGTTGCCAACCTGTGTACAGCCATTACGGAGGTGAACAGACGGGGGCTTCCGGGCACCAGGTTGGTGAAGATGAATTCAAAGCGCGTGTTGTTGCACTTGGTCAGGATGTACAGTGCCTCGGTCTGCCCGCGCAATTTCTGTCCACCAATGCACAAGCCACGATTTCATTTTATTTTTTAATGTTGCTGTGGAGCATTCAAGACGAACCAATAAAATTAGGTTTCTTTTCAACAAGTAAACCCATTTAATAAGTAAACCCATTACATTTTAACTTAAAATTTGCAATGGTGAACTGGCCTACTAAAGCTATGGAGTGACCGTTATGACAGTCATTTTCCAGAGATATATCCAGGATTTTTTTTACCTCTGCAATAAACCGGGCTGGTTTACGAGTATTTGTTTTATATGTTCCCAATACAAGAGAGGAAAGAAGAAAATTGAAACCCACCGAATTTGCTGTGCGTGTTGTGATGCTTATCACACAGTTGTAGCCAATAGCTGTGAAAACAATGAACAATATAGTGATAATCTTCATAACTAAGTGAAAGCCCATTGTTTTGATGACCCATATTGTTATATTATCAAGCACTGTACAAAGTTAACATTAATTTATAAAGTCTTGATATAACATAAGTTCATCACCTGGCAAGGTAGTTCAGTGCTAGAGGAAGCCACTTACAATCACGTTGCAAGTTCAAATCCTGGGTGGAGATGACAGCCTATCATCTCTTCGGGGTTGATAAAATAAGTACCACTTCGTAGGAAAGTTAACAGTGGTTACCCTATGGAAGGAATAACCACTGCCATAGGAATGTAGAATGTTTACCATTGGCTCAGGGCTGTAAACCGGAGATGTGCATTGCCTTAATGCCCATATGAGCAAAAAAATCGCCCACTTTTAAAAAACAAAACTGCTCTTACACAGTTGAAGAACGAAACTACCATGCACTTACATAGGTTCACTCTTGGCAGTGATTGCGAGTGCCAAATGAGCCTCAAGTTTGTAACCAACAACCGACCTGCAACAAGAAAAGTCAACATTCACACCAAATAATGTTTGAATTGAAAAACATAACATGTCAGAAGGTTCATACGTGTAGCGTGTAGTATGTCCCGCTAAAACATCATTTACATTATGAGACCCCTCAATACTCTGATAGTGCGCTGTTTTTGAGTTGTACACCTTTCGGTGTCTTCTGGTCCAACACCAGTGGAGACTAGGCTCTAAGAAAAGCCGTCTCGGGTGTGGACCAATCAAATTCAAGGACAGTGCATATTATTATCAGAGTTGTCTCTTTTGTTTGCATTTTGACTGCTTGTGTTGTGGTTATTGCAAACATGATGCCTTGAATAAAGGTGTCAGTTTTTGTGCCAGTTAAAAGGGTAAAACCTATTACTGAAACATCATTGGCAACAATATGGCCTAATGGTATGCCGGGACAATTAGCTGGTGCTTCTCTAGACTTTTTAATTCCCTGCAAACTGATGATGGCAGTGGCACTCACCACGATCGCCATTGTTCCCCTTGGTGTCTTCAATCGAGTCCAGAGAATCAATGAGCAGTTCTCCTGCACGCATTCTCATCTGCCTGTCCAAGGACACAACCAAGTCCATGCTCAGTCAATGTAAACATGTCACAACACAGCGAAAAGCACAATTACCACTGACAAGTCAGATGATGGATGCAACGGCGAAGCTCTGAGTTGATTTAACATTACACTGCGCTGATACAATATATATTTTAAAGTCGTTTAAATATGGTATAGTGGTTATTGTCGCCCACGGCTAACATCAGCGTGAAGTATGGTCAAGTAACTCACAACACTCGCAAGGCACGGGCATGTATTCATCCAGCAGTGGATTGACAAAAGTGCTCAATATAGCCAAGTGACTGCCCTGCTATAGTCATACAATTTTATAACCCGATCATTTATAATGAAATAAAACGTGTACATTCACGAGTGCAGTAACTCAAACCCCAATTTTTGTGTTGTATGTCACGTTTAAAAAGGAAAACATTAAGCATTTCTTATGGACATGGTAATATAATAACTGTACTCTATGGGGATTACATCGCGTAAATATAATTGTGTCGTTAAACCCGCCACCACTCGACACAGGCAATTAGTCAGGTTTGTCACGTAAACAGAACACGCCAATTCGTTACTATCACAAGCACACCGATGTGTTGGAGAGCAAATCCACAACATTTACAATCTGAGTATGACGTTTCGCCAGTAATTGCGACCGGCATCATCAGGCGACAGCCAGATTTTGTGGAGAAATCCTCCTGTTTCGTTCCTTACATTGAGGGATAGATGTGATGTCGTCACAGTCGCCTTACGATGCCGGTTGTAATTACTGGCGAAACGTCGGACACTCAAGATTGTAAATGTTGTGGATTTACTCTCCCAACACACCGGTGTGCTGTACTAGTAACGAATTGGGCACGCCCTGTTTACGTGACGAACCTTGCTCATGGGCTGTGTCGGGTGGTGGCGGGTTTAACGACACACATTTATATTTACGAGATTTATTGGTCGCGAAAGCCTATTTCATGTTAAACTGACAACGCTGTACTGTCGACGCGAGTTAAGCGGCCCGTAACCATGGCAACACGCCGCAGGCCCCAAACCTAACGGGAAACGTCGCAGCGACGCGGCGCTTTGCGGGAAATAAAACAACCGGCAGTGGCCATTGAAGCCGGCCTCGCGGAAGAGCCTGCGGGGAGGGAGGGGAGGGGAGGAGAGGGTGCCCCGTTGCTCTTACTGGGGGGAGACATCGAAGCGAATGTCGCGGTCTTCCCACAGCGCGTCCAGGGAGGCCGCCATCGCGGTCAACCCGACGCTCCCGTCTCGCCAACGCTTCCTCCGACGCGACCAATCGCAGCGCGAGACTCGCGTCACGTGAGGCACCCGGGGCCAATGGGGTGAGCGGAGTAAAGATGCGTGGTGGTGGGCCAGGTTGGGGGGTGGCTGGGCGTGGGCAAGGGGCCGTCCATAAATGACGTCACGCGACTTTTGACGATTTTTGACCCCCCCCCACCATCGTCACACGGCGTCACAAAAAGCCAGACCCCCCCCTCAAATGACGTCACAAAGCTCTGCCCCCCCCCCCCAAAAACCATATTTCCATTTTGAAAATAAAACATGCTTCAAATCGCTTTAAAGTTTAAACTATTGTCACTGTAGTGCGTATTTAATGTGGCGCTGCACTCTGATGTTATAGGAGTGTTGTTATAACAATTCTATATTTGATTTAAAGCTTTCGTGACTGCTGGGATTCATATTCTTGGTTCTTTCGGTAAAGTCACGTATAAGGGAAACAATAAAATAATAAAAATATAAAACAATAAAATTCTCACGACGTTTCGACTGCAACACAAGCAATCATCATCAGGTGTGAAAACCACAACAAGAAAATTTTAAAAAGTGGCGTTTTTATTAACGTTAGCACCACGGAGAGCGATTTGATAGTTTGTTCAGATGGACGAGTCCATCTATGTTCGGAAAAGAGGATGGGGGAGACGAAAAATAATGGATGCGGTCTGAAAGCCACCTTAAGCGTGATCAATCAATTAAGACCCGAAATGGTTTATCAAATCCTTCCAATGATTGCTAAGCCAGAATCCATCTTCTCGGTTGAAATTGTCCCTGTGTTTGTATATGTGGACAGTCTCATGAACGAATCTCTCATGGTAGCCAGATGGCTTGCAGAGAACCTCTGTCTTGGAGAAGTCAATGTCATGTGAACCTACTGAATTATAACAGTGATCTGCCACGGCCGAGGTGTTGGTCCTACCGTGTTTCAGGTCTGTTTTGTGTTCACGAATGCGGTCCGAGACATGTCGTTTGGTTTCTCCATTGTAACTACTACCACAGAGGCAACTTAGCTTGTAGACGCCAGGGTACTGTATGTCCGGAATCACATTTTTTATAGACGGAACCAGATCACGGATTTTATGTAATGTGTTGAATCGGACCTGGATCTTGTGTTTATTCAAGATTTTGGAGATGTTTTTTGTGATCCCCGCAATGTAGGGTAAAGTGATGGTTTTGAAAGGCTCCTCAAAAGGGTCCTTCTTCATAGTTGGAGTGATAGCTTTGCGATTGTGTAGTCGGAATAACCATTAGCCTTAAGAGCTTGGTGTACGTGCTTGAGTTCACTGGCTATATGCTCCTGGTCGGATATGCATTGGGCTCTATGGTGCAGAGTCTTGATGAGGGAATTCTTCTGGGATGGATGGTGATGGGAATCCGGTTTCAGGTATTGATGTGGTGACACTTTTGTCATCTGGCCACATGGCCGGCCTGCTCTAGACCAATTCTTCGACCACATCAATTCCATACACCCAGCCATCAGATTTACCATGGAAGTCGAAAAAGATGGCAAGCTACCTTTTATGGATGTCCTAATAAAAAAGAGACCTGATGGTTCAATGAGCCACTGTCTACAGGAAAGCTACCCATACGGATGCTTACCTGAAACCAGATTCCGACCACCATCCATCCCAGAAGAATTCCCTCATCAAGACTGAATCACTGCAGTCAAGAAAGCTTTAAATCAAAATTTTAATGGTCTATTTGTTTGTGTTTCTCCCTTGTGATGGGACTTTGTAAGATGAACGTTGAGATTTATAAAGGGCACGGGGTGACCAAAAATGGTCTGAATTGATCTGTAATAAGATAGGGCACTGATAAGGGGTTGACAGGTATTGTTTTATATGCAGCCCAAGTTCAAGTCGGATGAGAGCCTCCACTCGGTGTGGTTATTTTACCATACTTCACAACACTGGTCAGTGTGGGTTTAGTTAACGAGGGGAGCATAGACGTTGGCCCAAAGTGCAGTACAATTGATATCGATGTATTGCCCTTGACTGACAATGTTGCCCCTCGGCACTAACCAGGCTCAATTCCGCTGAGCTTCCGATATCTGCCGCTTATGCCGACTATCCACAAATATTATACACTATTATGCATTGGACTACGTATGTTAATTGAAATTCAAACAACCATGTTAGCCAATATCTTCGTATTTTATTGCAATATTGTCCAGTTTATGCATTTGCATACAACAACAAAGATGTCAAAACTGCATCTCAATGCGATTGGAGGCCATTGCTCGTAATTAGCTTAAAAAAATATATAATATATACATATATTTTTTTTAAATCAGGCGCACCTATCACACATGTACTTCGTAATTTAAGTTAAAAGGCACTTCATGCACAAGAAGAATGAATGTTTCTAAAGCACAGCATTCCTTGAATCATTGTCAAAAACTTCAAACGTTTAAAATTACTTCCGCACGCACTTTGAACACAATTCCAGTTTTCAAATGAGAATATGGCACTAAGTTAACACCTAAATGTTTCATTTAGTAAATTCTGTAAACGTATATTTTCGTTTATCCAACATACACACGGCATAAAATATTCAAATTGGCACGGATGTTGGAAGTGTTGACCATTTGCTATAAACATTATACTACTTATTTATCCAGAAAACCCACACGAGTTCAATTACTTTGTTTATCAGGAGGGTCCTGCCTTAGCTGTTTTTTTTAAATAAAAAAATGTCTTCAGCCAATTTATGAATTAAATTTCGTGACTGCAGGAATTCATACTCTTTCGGTTTTTCGGTAAAATCACGCAGGTAGGAAAATAATTTTAAAAAATCACGTTTCGATCTCAACACAAGCAATCGTCTTCAGGTGAAAAAATACAGCAGGCGGACTGCTGAGGCAGGAAGAAACATAGCGAGAGAATACGATTGCTTGTGTTGCGATCGAAACGTCGTGATTTTTAATTATTTTTCTATCTACGTGACTTCACCGAAAGACCCAACGAGTATTAATTCATGAATTCCTTATACAAGTGGCAGGAAACCGGAGCACCCGGAGAAAACTCGCACATGCGAAGGGGCAACACTCTATCCCCACCGAGATGGAGATTAGTCCACTTGCTGTACTGCCTTTTTCTGGCGAGCCAAGGCGTGGCACTTCGACCCCCACAGGGAGTTTCATAAGATGTATGATGATCCACCAACCCTAGCATTCACAGTGATGGATTACAAGCGGGCGCTGCCGCAACCCTGCTAATTGACATGAGGCTAGAACTCCTACTTTAAATGTATTGTGGATTATTAGACAACTTATTCTTAGTTCTTTCGGTAAAGTCACGTTGAAGGGAAACAACAAAATAATAAAATATATAGCAGCAAAATATATTATTTTATTATTTTGTTGTTTCCCTTCAACGTGACTTTACCGAAAGAACTAAGAATATGAATTACTGCAGTCACGAAAGCTTTAAATAAAAATATTAGACAACTTGTTAATCTCAATGGTGGGCACACATACCAGTGGGCTAATTTGCTTGCACTCAACTCGCTAGTTGTTATCCACCTGGCCATTTCTAAAGTTGATGTTAAAGGTTCTCAAGAGGAATGTGTTCTGTTTTCAAACAGTTAACCATGCTTAAAACTGTACCTGTGTGAACTTTTCACACAGTGCAATATGAAAAGGGATTTTGAAAACGGATTTCGTCACATGTAAATAATAGGTACCACTGGGCTATCAATGTAAAACACATTTACGATACTGGGAGCGTGTTAAATTTTATGTTTCAGTGTAATAATACTCACCACTATAACTTACAAGCCTGTATTAATCTACACATGTTCCCTTTCGGGGTGTATTGACCATACTTCACCACGTTGAGCAGTGCAACTTGATGACGAGTTCAAACATTATTTCCCATTCACGTTAGCCAAGGACAAAATCTAATTTAGGTAGAGGTACGCATTCAGAGTTCATCGTGCAGTGCGCTATGTGTGCATAACCAGAGGTGGCGCCGTCGCACCCTCTCGTGGGAAATGTGATAAGTGCATGCTTACTCTTTGGTTCTATTCGGTAAAGTCACGTAGGTAAAAAAATAAAACAACAAAAATCACGACGTTTCGGCCACAACACAAGCGGCCTTCATCAAGTGAAGGGACCAGGCTGTCTCGAGGACAGCGCTGGAGTGAAACACAGCCACGCTCAGACCGCGACCTTTAAGCTTGTGTGCGAGGAAACAAGGTGCCTTGACAAAGGAATTAAGTCGCCCAATCAAATGCTATTTTTTATGCTAATTCCTTTGTCAAGGCACCTTGTTTCCTCGCACACAGCTTAAAGGTCGCGGTCTGAGCTTGGCTGTGTTTCACTCCAGCGCTGTCCTCGAGACAGCCTGATCCCTTCACCTGATGAAGGCCGCTTGCGTTGTGGCCGAAACGTCGTGATTTTTGTTGTTTTATTTTTTACCTACGTGACTTTACTGAACAGCACAAAACACAAGCAAACTCAGCAAAAGGCTAAATGAAAACGGATGCACCAAATACTGTATCAGCTCAAACTCAGATTCCAATAAACATAACGTTTGTAATTCTAAATACACTACTAAAATTGTAACTACACTATTCACGCAATTAGATCACACTATTTTGATATATGTAGCTTGTCCAGTATGTAATGATTGGAGTAATGCAACACACCCGGAATAAGTTCTGCTTAGGGATCCGATGCGCTAGCACCACCACGAACTCACTCTCACCTTTGGACTTGTCAGGATGCAGAGGCAGTAAGCTTTGTGTCAATGGCCTCAATCATGACAGCAATTTCAGTGCACTCCCAATCTTTATACGTACTGAAATTAATCATGTTTATAGGTTGTTTTTCAAGCTAATATTTCCAGCCTACCTTATATAGTTATACTGCAGCATGCAATTACGCATCACATGCTCATTTTAACAAGGGTACAGCCGTGCAGAGGCAGGTCCAAGTGAGACAATAAAAATATTTTACTTCCCCAGCCATCATATATCCGTTGTGAAAAGAGATGGTGTATTTAATCTCAATGGACTTTTCATCCACCTGTCAGGGTTTGAGAAACTATAGTTTAAAGCAATTTTCACATCTTATTCATCGATATTAACAAATCTCCCATTACTGTCTAAATGTGCATACATGCGTAGCGTACAAATTACCAAATCACCCGGAATCCACCCAATCTCGTCACATCTCAGGAGCTAAGCAGGCTTGAGCCTGGATAGTGGATGATCACCAGGAATGCCAGTTTGCCAAAGGTGGCTGTGGAGCTACGTGGTGGTCTGCAGAGGGCAATGCAACACAAACCCACTGTTCTTTTGTATAGTACTTATATGCCCCCCCCCCCACACCTATGTTCCCCACGTTCACCAATCCGCACTGACCAGCATGGTGAAATATGGATAAAACTCCCACAACTGACATGGAATGTGTGTGTTTAATTTAACATCAGAAATAGGGGAGCCAAAGCTACTTCTTTGTGTGCCATGCCAATACAAACGGGTACATCGATCGTGACAACAATTCACAATAACTCGATGGAATATCAGTGTTATATGTGAAAATTGTAACAATAAGCTACAGGCCTTTGTCAATCCAGTTACAGTAAAACCTTGGATTGTGAGTAACTTGGTCTGCGAGTGTTTTGCAAGACGAGCAATTTTTTAAAAAATATATATATTAATTTGATAAACGAGCGAGGGTCTTGAAATACGAGTGGTATGTATACGCTTTACTCAATGTTTTTTTTTCGGTAAAGTCACGTAAAATCACGTATGTAGAAATACCATAAAAAAGCAATGAGTAATTTATGCAGTCACGAAAGCTTTAATTCTTTATTAACACACTTCTACGGGAAAGTTACCTTTACAATTCTGTCCTGAACTTCATGCGCCCCCTTACATTTTCCTGCCCCTCCCCCCTCTTCCGCTGCCGTGCCCCTTGCTCTCTGCGGCCCCTCCCCCCACCTCTACCGCTTATTTTAAGCCTCTGTCTGTTCATCCCTCCGGCCCCTTTTTCTTGCTTCTCTGTACGTCTTTCCTCTTCTTGCCTCTTGGTGTCCCTGTATATGTATTTTCCTGCTATCTTGTACCTCGTATTTGTTCACTCTGTCTGTACTGGTATGTTCAACCCGCAGGATGAACACGAAATTTAGCACTCTTCTGAAATTCGTGGTCTGCCAGGCAAGTGTCTAACTGTGTCGTTGGCCGACTGGTTTTGCATCACGTAAATTTTTCTTCAGTTTGTTGAATTCTCGTCTCTCACCTTCTTGTTGTATTTACCTCCGTGCAGTTTAACGCTCTCTACGTGTTGCGTTGATGTCACCCTATGTGCTATTTGTTTTTTACACCTGATGAAGATCGCTTGTGTTGCGGTTGAAACGTCGTGATTGATTTATTTTAATATAATTTTATGGTATTTCTACATACGTGACTTTACCGAAAAAAACAATGAGTAATTTATGCAGTCACGAAAGCTTTAATTCCGTATACGCTTTGTCTGCCGAGCGTCACGTGATCACAACTGATAAACGAGTGCTTTGATATACGAGTGCATTGATATGCGAGTGCCTGGTATTACAAACAAGTTTCCGGAACGAATTATGCTCGCAATCCAAGGTTTTACTGTATTTTCAGACAGATCCTGGCTAAGTTCAGAATTATTTACCACCAGTGTACATGGACAGGAAATTAACCTGGGTGACTGGAGATTGTGATGGAATGTGACATCCAATGCTTCATAATTTCCCACTTACAAACACACGCAGCATTTGCAATATTCTGCAAACAGGGAGGTCATGGAAATGAATGGTAATCAGTCGTACTCAGAGCCGATGGATATGCAGAGCTCTCCATGGTGAATGTAGGTGGAATGGTACCATTGGTTGGTGTCCACAATCACTGCAATGGAAGAATAGGCAAATGTAAGGAATCGAAATTACTTTCTCACGCCACTGCTGGGAGATGGAGCTCTAGAGCATTCCTCTTATGCATATTTTGGTATACTCTCACACTGGTCAGATGCCTTGAAAGAGATGGGAATACCAACACTTTACCCCACCACACGCGACCTACCGATCGACTTTGGTGAACCCATATATACTGTCGGGTGGGCAGATGTGGCGGGGATTTAATAAATTGTCCATGGCTTCAACTGTCGCGCCAGGAAATTGTGCAAACCATTATGCCACAATAATGCAAATAATTCGTTTCTCTAGGATGAACAATATTGAAGCATTACAAGCAGGTACGAAAGTGTGCTCCATGCAACTAAACATTAAATGGAATGATTTTTTTTAAAGATCTGTATAATTATTCTCCCTAACATTGAGGATGACTCCTAGGAATCCGGATAGTCTAGCCATGAGCAATTGTATCATGAACAAATAAATAATTTTACATCAATCACTTCTAACAGTCATTTGACCCCTTTGATAAGGTCAAATATGAAGGTTTTATTAAACCAGCACCTTTTGATGTATTAGCAAGTCAAACCTAACCTCTTGATGAATATTTAACATCAACAGTTCATTCAAAATCACAGAATACATTGCAGTCTACAAGGAAGGGGAACAAAGAGCTCACTGAGATAAAAATGTACGTGATCAGTTGCAGCAAAACTCTATTTGTGATAGAAACAAAAAGTCTAAGCTGTTGCCTGAAAAGCATCACAGGAGAGTCATGCAGAGCGGGAAAATGCAAATGCGGTGATGAATGTGGCCATTCATGAGGGTTTCTGTTATGTGGTTTTGTCCAAATGTGTCAAATTGAAAGATTACCTGCAAAAATGTCTCATTTGGGATTACACAATCAATGATTGCGCCCTATTGGTTGACTAATGCCCACTTGGCCGATGCTGAGTCACGTTGAGCCGCACCAGGACAGCTGCCATTGGGGGTGCCCTTCGAATGTTTGATACGAGATGCGATGTGCTTTGAGTTGGTGGGGGCATTTAAGCGCCATGTAAATACAAAGATAATTTGTTATGGCAATATTACGATATATATCATACTTTAATACACGTAATTATCGATGCTTATTATATTTTTCTTTAAATATTTTATTTCCTCACAAAATGTCTGTCGAATAACAGACTCAATAATTAAATTTTCCAATAAATAACTAGCATCCAATTAAATTATTCCTTCGCTAAATGTTTATTTCCAAGAAATTGACAATATGGCAATCGTACAATGTAATAATTTTTGTAGTTCTTGTATTTATTTCTTGTGCAGCAATATGTGCCTTATAAGCATTATGGGTATGAAGTAGATATTATTCAAAACCGATGGCAGGCTAATGTTGAACGAAATGCATTTTAAGACTTTCAGTAATCGTTTTTTCGAGGAGCAAAGTACAACAATACAATTGCTGAGAGCAATTGAAAAGTTAAAAGAAACGTATTTTGATAATCGCCATATTATGATATCTAATATTGTACCATATCGTAAAATCATATAGCGGCAACCCTACTGCTCAGGCACATGCCGTACGTACGTATGTCTCCCTTCTGAAGTGTTGCTTGCAGGGGATGGCAAACATCTTCACATTCCGGAGGTGGCAACAGGTCCCATGTTTTCATTCCCGAGATCTGAGCCTGCCAAGACGGACGCTGCACTTTGTCCAGCTGATTATGAGAGAGAGAAAAAAAAACGTAGACTACTTTGTTATTAAATAATACATTCCACAGCGAAAGGGTTTTAGATCACACGGTGAGGCAAAAAAAACCCCATTCAGTTGCGAGCATTTCTGATTGCACAGTGCTTCAGTGTAATCGATCAGGCTTCATATTTAACTCGCCATCAGATTTAGTGCCGATGACTAAATCACCCAGAAGATAAACAATTGTGTTAGATCTCAGAGGCTAAGCAGGCTTGAGTAAGAGTTGTAAAACAGGAGTTTTTAGCAGCTTCGGGGTGACGTTGGCAGTAGAGGGCAGTGCAGACAAATGCATTGTTGTACTGCTATGTCCACAATCGCTGCCCTCACAAACCCACACGGTGTGGGGAGGCCCACACCGTGTGGGTTTGTGAAATGACCAAGAGCTGTACAAGTACACATAGACATTGGCAGGGGGGAGTTGCTGCAGTGGTTCAGTGGTTCACGCACTGGGCTCTGGACCTGGGCACCTGAATTCAATTCCCCACAAACAAATAACACCAGTGACAAATGATATGTACATGTACTGATTCTGGAGACCCCCCACACCCCCTGTGTTGGCACATTGAGCAATGGGCGTACGTGAATGTGGCTTCCCTGGCCGGCCCAACCCATGAACACCCAGTCAAGCGTGCTGCTCTCCGAGTTTGCAGGGAGGAAGGCTGGCCGCTGGTAGTAGCTTCGCAGGATGGGAGTCAGCTCATCGCTGCAGCTGCTCCTGTGGTGAAAACACAAAGTCCCATGCGCACAATTCAATATGAACCCAAACATAACTTCGAAAATCCCAAGGTGTAATGTAAAACCTATTTGAACAATCAAACTCATGATAACTATAAAAATGATCATTTTCAGACCTTTGTCGATCCACTGCTAGATGAAGACCTTTCCATGCTGTTGCTTTCGATGGGGGTTGTTTGACCATACATCATCATGCTGGCCAAAGCGAGTTGGTGGAGGGGGAAGGTAGCGCCCAGAATTGCTTCAGATATCACTCGCCACTGATGTTCGCCGCGTCAAACATTACACCACATCCTTAATATTATTGAACTATAAATCAGTACCACAGGCCACCAAACATTCCAAGCATAACTTTACACAAGATGACCACTATAAACGCTCATGTTATAAGTTACAAGAGGAATTTTATTTATTTTATTTACTAACTCTTCACCTTAGACCCGAGCGATAGAATCGATGTGTGTGATGTAGAGCTTTGTGCTTTCATCCATCAACACCGACAAGGTGTGCCGCCACACTTACCATCCCACGTACCAACTGGGGCCCCCATCCTGCAGGGTCGCTCTCTCCTCTGTCATGTTGAACACGTCGGCCAAAGAGGTGAAACCCGACGAATACGAGAAAAACTGACACTCCTGCACAGTCTTCCGCAGCGCTTCGCTGTGGCCCGAGTACATCAACTGGAAGAACGTGAAATTGAAGTCAGCGAGTGCTTTCCAGCCGCTTGTGGCCCCGCGCACAAGCAGCGGCCGGCCTGTGTAGGCGAACGTCCTCAAAAACTCCTGCGGCGACAGCTGGTCGCAGGCCAGCACGGGCACCTGCTCCATGTCCGCACACAGGCTGGGGCAGTGAGAGGGCGGGCGGCTGATCTCGGTCGCCACCAGCCCCATGTCCATGAGGCAGGGCTCGGAGAACAGCGAGTCGCCCTTAGCCACGGCCAACACGATCGAGGCAGCCAGGGCGGCCACGGCGCACAGTCTCGCCGGGGTAAGGGCACAGTAGAGGCGGGTGGCCCACGTCCATCTTCCGGCTCGGTGGCCGGATGCGTCTCTTTGGTGCTCTTTGCACGCATGCTTTTTGCACGGTCGGCGCCTAGGCTTGCTCAGGCACCGCATTAACGCGGCCCTTGCCTCGCGCGGAGTTAAGCCGCCGTCGACGGCGCTCTGGTAGAGCTCGAGGAACTTAGCTGTGAGTGCTTCCACGGAGCGGGCATCTTGCGAGTTGTTCTCATCCGTAGTACCCATTGCTCGCTGCCGGGAGAGTGCAAACACGACGGGTAGGGCGTGGGTGTGAGATAAAAGTCATTGGCGAGTTCGTGTTTTGGCTTGTTGCAAGGATGCCAAGTTACGACTTAGCAACCCCAGCACACTCCTGATTTATAGTGTACTTAAAAACGCAATTTTGGTATATCTGCCAACCAGTCAGAGGGCAGTGTAATGTACTTTGTGTTATATTCTTGGTTCTTTCGGTAAAGTCACGTAGAAGGGAAACAATAAAATAATAAAAATATAAAACAATACAATTCTCACGACGTTTCGACATCAGGTGTGAAAACCACAGCAAGAAAATGTTCGTGCTGTGATTTCCACACCTGATGATGATTGCTTGTGTTGAAGTCGAAACGTCGTGAGAATTGTATTGTTTAATATTTGTATTATTTTGTTTCCCTTCTACGTGACTTTACCGAAAGAACCAAGCATATGAATCCCTGCAGTCACGAAAGCTTTAAATCAAAAATGTACTTTGTGTTGTTAAGTGGTTGCAAAATGGTTTGTGCACTATGCTGTGAATCTGGCTCCCTACATATGATTCCTGGCTATGGCTAACATCAGTGGGGGAGGGATATCTGAAGCGTTTTTGGGGACAAGCCCTTTCACCAACCTGCACTGACCAGCGTGGTGAAGTATGGTCGTGCCTCCAGGATCGACACGGCGTGGGGGGAGGGCTTCATCCAGCAGTAGGTTAACAAACGGCTGTAAATGTAAATGATAAAACTTTCAGTACACAGTATTCATTCGCGCAACTTAATTCAACGTCAATGCTATTTGCAATATTTATTTAGGTGAGCGATAGATTGCGACTCCTCTCATGTCAGGTAGACTTTGGCACACATACTATAATAAAATAAGTCATGGCAGAATTGCAACCAATACGCTGGTAATTGGGTTCAGAACTGCACACATCACATCTGAACTCAGATTTTGACCAAATCACCAAGAATAATTCGCCCGCTCTCATCACATCTCCTAAGCTGAGCAAAGTTGATCCTGGACCCCACCATGCATCCGAGTGACACGCCATGCTTACAGTTCGATTCGGTGACTTTACCGAATAGGACCAAAGAGCATGGATACTTGCAGTCACGAAAGCTTTAAATCTAGAATTGCTTACAGTTGTTATTGTGGGCCAACGCCGTCAGCAGATGGCAGTACAGCAACATCCATTGGTACTCTGCTGAACTTCTATGCTCCCGCGACATTACGCTCACCAACCCGCACTGATGAGCGCGGTGAAGGATGGACAAACAATACGGTACCGATTACACTTTAAAACGCACAAGTAACCCAAGCTCCTGAGGCCTAGAGCTGGCTTCGTACACAGTGCGAGCGTTCACACTGGCCGGACACACACACACACAACACACTCCTCCTCCTCTCTCTCTCTCACGCCTTGCAAGGCGCGATCACTAAATCACGTCTCGCGTGTTTGTCCGGCAAAGTTTGTTAAAGGCAGTTCAGTGAAGATGGGTGTGAGGGGTTAAAGTAAGCGTAATTCGTAGTTTATGAACCGACCGGCACAAGTGACCGGTATAACTCCGCGTGGCCGGTGCGAGCGATCACGACTGCCGCGGAGCCTCTGCTGGGCGAGAAGTTTCCTCTCTCTGCAAGCGACAGCGACGAAATTCCAGCACGGGTGGAGCGAGCAAAGTTGGCAGCAGCAGCAGCGTCCAGCCCGTGGCGGTACGGAGGCACGGGGTGAAAGAGGGCGGGGCGAGGCGGCAGAGGGCGGGGCGGAAGGTGTGGAGGGGCGGGGCCACGCGTATCTGGCCACGCCCTTCGCAGCTGAAAACCAAGCCCACCTCGGGTGACAACACCTCGGGTGACGACAACAACCTACTGAACTTATCGGGGTTTTTTTTATTTGACCAGGTAAGGGGCCGTCCATAAATGACGTCACGCGATTTTGGACGATTTTTGACCTCCTCCCCCCCTCTCGTCACACGGCGTGACAAAAAGTCAGACCCCCCCTCAAATATGACGTCACAAATCTCTGCCCCCCCCCCCCAAAAAAAATATACAACATGCTTCAAATCGCTTTAAACTATTGTCATTGTAGTTGCGTATTTAATGTGCCGCTGCACTCTGATGTAGGAGAAAAGATTTATTAAAAAGTCTATTTAGTTAAGTAGAACGTGTTGTCTATATTTATTTAAAGTTGCGCGTTTTGATGTGACGTCACATTTCTCAAACCCCCCCCCCCTCGTCACACATCGTCACAAATGTCTGACCCCCCCCCCTAGGTGCGTGACGTCATTTATGGACAGACCCTAAGACCCAATGAGCTATTTCGCTCTTTTGTGACAACAAATATCTATAATAAAATACTGAACAAATGTATTTTTATTTTACCAGGTAAGGCCCACTGAGCTATTTAGCTCTTTTTTCAGAAGCGACCTGGCAACAAATGATAGCCCAACGAAGTGGTTTATCGCGTGGAAATTTATCGCAAACAAATACTCTAAACGCACGTTTCTAAATAGTGTAGCGCAAAACCAGAGAACCCGGTGAATAAATCCACGTGGCCACGGGAAGAGAGACATGCAAACTCCAAATATACATGCGTCAGGGTCAGGATCGAACCCACGCATTCCTGTGTACCAGGCAGGGTAGTTAACATCTCACCACTGTGACGTTGAAGATCCCTGGATTTAATCTACCACAATGCTCATGGTCCACCCTAAACTGCATCCGTACAAAGCATGGTAGATGCGGATACCTGATGCACAAATGGAAAATTAAAAACTCTCCAATCTGCGACTGTGGTCATCCAGAACAGACCATACAACGTATAACGATGCAATTCGCGATCCACAAATACGAAGGAGACATCACAGCGATACATTCCGCTGCGCCTGATGGGGTTATCTGGCTTGACCACCTGAATGTGAAGTCGTAGTTGTTGCTCTGCATCGACATCAGGAGCATTTCGAAAAGAGAAGATTTAACAATCTAGATTTGAAGTTTTCGTGACTGCAAGTTATCCATACTCTTTGGTTCTTTCGGTAAAGCCACGTAGGTATAAAATAAAACCAAAGAGTAGAAGATTGAACACTTATTAAATGACAAAAAGTTTTAAGTTTATTTGTATTTGTTTCACGGCTATTTTACGAGAGATAACCACGGTGAGCGAGCACAAGCAGCAACGCCACGGTGGTGAGATGTTAACTACCTCGCCCGGTATGCAGGAAGTCGTGGGTTCGATCCCAACCCTGACTCCTGCTGCTGCTGTATATTTGGAGCTGGCGTTTCTCTCTCCCCGTGGTCACCGTGGGTTTTTCTCCGGGTCCTCCGGTTTCCCCCTCCAAATGTAGAAACATGCATTTTGAGTATTTGGCTGCAATAAATTTCCACGTAATAATCCACTTCGTTGATCTATCATTTGTGATAGCCAGGTCGCTTCTGAAAACAATCTATATAGCTCAGTGGGCCTTACTTGGTCAAATTTAAATAGTGTAAATTTAATCATTATATTTTATTTCTATGTGACTTTACCGAAAGAACCAAGGACTAATTCCTGCAGTCACGAAAGCTTCAAATCAAGTTGAAATAGTGTAGTTTAGCAGCAAACAGAAATAAAAAATGAAAACATAAAATACTGCAGTGACTGAGTATAGAGGGGTCCTCAATGAATATTGCACAACTATCAAACTGTAACGGTTGTAAACGAAACACGAGAATAAAACAATTGTCAGTGAAAATATATGATATGAGAGGAAGAGGCGCCAGATAAAAAAAAGTTAGGTGCAAGTGCAAGTAAGCTCTGTGTTTTGGCCTCATCGGTAAATAAAGATGGGGAGTGAAGGGCCGGAACCATACGGTAGAGTATATGTGGATATGTAAATAAATATTAAGCAACAATTTGAACGTACATTATTGTATAAAGTGGTGGTTTAAATGCAACTCTGTCTCTGGGCACTTCACAAGTGGAAAGTCAAAGTTGTTTATGGTTCCAACCTGGCTCTTCAGTTTACATAAAGTAAAAGATGGAAATGTCACATTTTTTTAAAGGCAGAGCCTTTGCAGACACACTTTAGTTAAAGTCGCACCCCGATTGATCCATTTTGTTTTGGGGTTAGGCCCCGTGGTTGTTTTATGCCATTATTATTGTCGTTAACCTTCCACCACCCGACAAGATTGTCATCTTTACAAAGATATTATTTATATTTCGATTTAAAGCTTTCGTGACTGCAGGGATTCATCTTCTTAGTTCTTTCGGTAAAGTCATGTAGAAGGGAAATAATAAAATAATAAAAATAAAACATAATAAAATAAAATTCTCACGACGTTTCGGCCACAACACAAGTAGCCGCCCTCAGGTGAAGAAACAGAACTGTCGGAAAGACAGCGCTCCAATGTATTGATTAAATTCTGACCCATAAATCTCACCGGTCTCTGAAGACTTTTCATGACGGAATTTAACATCCACATAAGACATTTAGCTCAGACTGCTTTGAGCTTGGTCTGCTCGGAAATCGAGTGGGCTGCATCATCAAGGATTAATTTATTGTATTTGTAATTTGGACCTGGATACTTTTACAGTTTTACTATGTTGATTATTTTAAACATCGTCACGCCACGCCTCTTAAAATACAAGACACCCCCCCCCCCTCTTACCGAAGTCATTGATTTATCTGTGTGCATATTTTTTGGTATTTCTCATGTGACAGTTGTGTTTGCTCTCATTTCTAAGCACGATCTGATTGTCTTTTGTCATTCTGTTGACACGCGTCTCTCGATTTCTCACCTGGTTAAATAAAATAAACCTGAAACTTAAACTGCGAATCGTCGTGGCCTGTAAGGTCGCCTATGATACAGTTTTCCTTTGAAGGCAAGTGGTATTGACGAACGTGTTGACTCGTTGGTCACGTGTGCTTGTGTAACACTGCCAACAGAGAATCGCCAAATCATTAGTTTAATCTTACACAAAAACAGAAAACATATATTTTTTATCTTTAGTTGGTTCTTCCCCCCGCACTTCTGATTAGCACGGTTGGCTTCGTGTGGTGCGAAAGAAGTTCAACATATGTACACATGGGAGACTACGGTATATCCTGATCTCTTTGGGTTTTGATCTGGACAAATTCGACTTGAATCTTACCCGAGAAACTACGCCCACACCGCTAAAGCCACGCCTTCTCTAATACAAGCCACGCCCCTTTACGCCACAAGTCACGCCCACGTCAGTGAAGCCCCCCGCCCGCTGCAACACAGCCCTCTGCGCCGCCCCATGTAAAGCCACGCCCGGCAAATTACGGCCACGCCCTCTCGTGCAGCGGGCCAATGAGGAGGCGCCGCCGCGAGGACCCCGTGGGTGCCCCGCGCGGTGCCTGCTCGCGCCGCTGACCCCGCAGGGTTGCGCGTCCGAAGGCTCCAGCGTAGCCCGCCTGGGCGCTGCCTTCGCGGGTTTTTGTTTACGAGCGCGAACGGCGGAAGCGGCGGCGGTGGCGGCAGCAATGGACCCGCTGAGAGGCTGAGCCATAACCCCGGAGACGATGAGGGATAAGGAGCAGAAGAAAGGGCGCACTTGGCTCGAGGCGGCGCGCATGGTGAGGGCGCTCCCCGCGGCTGAAGCGGCCGGGGCGGCCCGCAGGCCTCGGGCCTAAACCCCGCGCATCCTTCCCGTGTGGCGGCTGTCTTATGTGTATGTTTATATACGTACGTGTGTGTGTGTGCGCGTGTTTATACGCGTGTCTTTGTGTGGTTATTGTATGTTGGTATTTCTGGCGTGTTTGTACATATTAGCGTGCGTTTCTCTGTCGTTGTGCATATCTCTGTGCGTATCTCTTTTCGTCCATGTGTACATCTCGGCGTCTGCCTTAATGTCTGTTTATATCTCTGCGTTGTGCATCTGTGTATTTGACTGTTACGTTTAGTGTGTACGTCGATGTGTGTTCATCTTATCTTTTTTTTTGTCCGTGTGTATCTGTATGCATGTCTCTGTGTGCGTGTCTTGTTTTGTCCATGCTCGTCGATGTATAATCTGTGTATCTCTTTGTCCATGTGTCTGTGTTTTTTTGTTGCCTCGCTGTCTTTCTGTTGTCAATGCCTGTCTGGTTATGTGTGTGTCTTTGTGTGGCTGTGCGTGTCTGAGTTGTCTTTGTGTATGCGTGTCTTTTGTGTGTATGTGTGTCTGTCTTTGCGTGTGTGTCCATGATTGCGTGTGGGTATCTTTCTCCAGTTTTGTGTTCTTTGTTTGGCTCTACTATATCGGTTTCTTTGTGTAAATCTAAATGTATCATCGTCTCTGTCCCATCGCCTCCGTGTCTCGCTTTAGCAACACCACCCCCTCTCTCCATCCCCGTTTCGGATGGAGGGGGCTGTTTAAGATGGAGGGTCTTGGTGTGGATGGTAATGGTGGTGATGGTATTCGTGATTATGATCATGGTGGTGATGACGGTGGGATTGGTGATTACGATGAAGGTGGCGGTGATTATATCGGTGATATTGGTGATGATTAGTGTCAACTGTGATTATGGTGGTGGTGGTGATGATGGTAGTGATGATGTTGAGATGGTATTGGTAATTGAGATTATGGCGGTGATTGTGATATGAGTGGTGATTGTGATTATGGAGGTGATGACAATAATGGTAAGTATACCACGTAGGCTTTCGCCTATTATTAATAATGGTAACGTTGATGATGGTGGTTATGATTATGATGGAGATGATTTATCTCACTCGCTCCCCTCGTCTGTTCGCTCTTGAGACGGTGTCAGTGATTATGATCGTGGAT